TTTTTAAACTTTTTTTTTTAAATTCTTATTAAATAAAAGCTTTAATAGAAAGATATACATATACTTACATATTATTAATATTTCAAAAATATTTATATATGTATAGAATATATTTATGTATGAATCGATGTGTAATATGTAATATGAATAGTTATGTATGAAAAATTTAATTTAGCCATTTCGTCGATGGCAGCACTAGTATAGACGTGTCGTACGTCAAAAACAGTGAATGTACATAGGATAAAATTTTTTATTACAATTTACTTCTTATATATTTGGTAAATCCTTTAATAGTCATCTTATGACGTATGTTTTATAATAATACGTTTATTGTATTATTTATCATTGAAATCTCAATTATGTTAAAATTATAAATCTAAAATAACTCTTTTTATGCGCACAGTGTTCCATACTTTAAACATTACTGGATGATAAATACTTTTTTAACTTGTTCGCTATTGATAGAACTACATCATTAAAAATTCTTAGATGTAAGAGTATGTTTTTTATTTATTTCACTTATTAGAATCAAAATATTTATAATCTGTAACATAACCTGCTTTGAAAGTAAAAACTTATATTTATAGACCTCTCTCTTTGATAATGCAATATTTTTCTATAAATATCATGTATAATTCCTAATGTAATTTTTATATGTGTTTATATATATATATATATAAATGAGCAGATTTTTTTTTTCTTATTTTATATAGCTATGTATTATTTTTAACTATTAATATGCACATTTATCATGATAAACCATGATGATGGAATATATATTATATAGTATATAATATATATTATATAATGTATTAAAATTTACATAATATAATAATATAATACAAATTAAAAAAAAATGAAATAGCTACGTAAGTTTCATAATATTATCTATTATTTTCTTATGCTTTTTATATAAAATGAGATATATGAACTTTGTAATTTAAAATGTTCATTGTAACAATAATAATGATAAAAAAAAAGAGGATTTTAATAAACATATCATCAAATCCTGTTTCAGTAGTTTTTTCTAAAGGAATGAGGACCTTGTATTGCTTTTTCAATTATCTAAAAAAGGTGGCAAATGCTAGTTAACATAATTTGTTATAACTATGGAAAATCAAAGTCACCAAGGTGAAATTTATCAAAGCCATCAATCATTTTGGAAGAAAAATACTCGTGCTGTTCCAGGCAGGTATATACAATAATATGCTTCTAATAATATTTTTAATATTTTTAGAAAATAAATTTATAATTAAATTTTGATATAAATTATTATAAGTATAATATAATTCTTTATATTTTGCTCAATGAAAGACCAAGTCCTAAACAAGATGGTAAACTTAGTAAAATAAGTACTACTACATTGATGTCTGGTAGTTCAGCTAATATAATATCTACCGGTGGAACTATATCGGGAAACTATAGCGGAGGTTCTACATCATTTCAAGATTTTCAAGAAAGCGTAGATGATGCTTGGGATTCTGGAGATGATGAATTTTGCACTGTCTCAGATGTAAAAATATCAAAACGAGTTAGCCATTCTGCTGCTATTAGCGTCATTAATAATCATAGATCAAGAAAAATGTGCATAGATTCGGGGACAAATGTAAAATCTTCGCAACGCGTTCAAGAAATTATTCCTGAGGAAAAACGAGCAGAGGCTCTTCAAAGATTAGCCGTGCAACCGTTACATTTGCGAAATGTTAATTTGTCAACGCATTCTCAAATGAATAATAGTCAACATTCCTCAGAAGATACAGATATTAAATACGGTGCTTCCCCGCAACATAAACCGACACAATTTCCAGGCAGGCCGCAACCGTTGAGACAAACAATCGCACCTACCAAATTTTTTATACCTTCTAAAGAACAAGGTATTTATGGAACAATTTTTTTTATATATCCATTCGATCTCAATATATCAGTTAGTTTTGATTTGTTAATAATTGTAGATGGGGAAAGTAAAATAGATAAATTTCAGTCTCTTCTGGAAGCTTCTGTATTAAACTTAGATGAATTGAGACAATTATCGTGGTCTGGAATACCTGCAAGATTGCGATCTGTTACATGGAGGTTATTGTCTGTAAGTAAGAAAGGTAAACTATGCTGTACGTTTTATATCTAATAATAAAATTTCATAAAAAAAATATTAAATCATTATTCTGTATTTCTGTAACATAGGAATATTTACCAGCCAATTTAGAGCGAAGACAACACGTGTTAGAACGTAAACGTTTAGATTATTGGAATTTAGTGAAACAATATTATGATACTGAACGAGATGAAGGATTCCAGGATACATATCGTCAAATACACATTGACATTCCAAGAATGTCACCACTTATTTCATTGTTTCAACAAACAACGGTACAACTAATCTTTGAAAGAATACTCTATATTTGGGCAATTCGACATCCTGCTTCTGGTTACGTTCAAGTACGTATTTTTCGTCGTTATCTTCATTCCTGATATTTTTAATATTTTATTTTCATCCTTTTCCTTTTGTTCCTTTTAGGGAATGAACGATCTAGTGACACCTTTCTTTCTTGTATTTTTGCAAGAAGCAGTACCTGTATCAGCATGGCAGGATTTAGAAAATTATGATGTTGCATCGTTACAAAAAGAACAACGGGATATCATAGAAGCAGATAGTTTTTGGTGTTTATCTAAATTTCTTGATGGTATTCAAGATAATTATATTTTTGCTCAATTAGGCATTCAGCACAAAGTAAATCAGTTAAAAGAACTGATACAAAGAATCGATGGTATATATATATATATACATACATGCATACATATGTATATAAATCAATATGTATATAATCAATTTAAAATCTTTTATTCTTTTCTTTCATTATATTTGATTTTCGATTAATCATGCATATAATTTGTTCTTTTAGCGCCTTTGCATCAACATCTACATCAACATGGTGTAGATTATTTACAATTTTCCTTTCGGTGGATGAATAATTTATTAACAAGAGAAATCCCTCTTCATTGTACAATTCGTTTATGGGACACTTATCTAGCGGAATCCGACCGATTTGCTTCGTTTCAACTTTACGTATGTGCCGCGTTTCTTCTTCGTTGGAGACGTCATCTTCTATTGCAACCAGATTTTCAAGTAAGTTAAAAAGTATATTATAGTATTTCTAATAAATTATAATTCGAGATAAAATTATTTTTTATTAATTATTCACTATGTGGAAAAAATCTTTTTATTATTGTTAAAGGGACTGATGTTAATGCTACAAAACCTGCCTACTCAAAATTGGACAGATTCAGAAATAGGAATATTAGTAGCGGAAGCGTACAAATTAAAATTCACGTTTGCAGATGCTCCCAATCATTTGCAAGCTCATGATACCAGGTGACCATTTTGCGATGCGTTTAGATAACGGTATTATAATCGGGATCAGAAACATTGGCACAAGTGATTTTGTGCTAAATCGATATGCCTATTTTTACCATCATCGTTTATATCATACAACTCGGTGGCTCATCATTAATTTAGGTTGTTTTCTATCTGATTACAAGTTATTAATTTTTAAATGCTTTATCCTCTAGTTCAAAGAAAAAGTTCTATGCTTACGTTATGTTTTTAAAAAAATCAAATGGTGTTTATAAATTTTATTATTATTATTATTATTTTATTACCATTATTATTACTATTACTGTTATTATTACTATTATTATTATTAATATTATTATTATTATTATTATTATTATTATTATTATTATTACTATTATTATAAATATTATTATAGCAACTATTTTTAAAGTAATCGAAATTAAGTTTTCCCGCCATTTATCGATTAATTAAAAAATATACATGCAAGCTGAATTATAAAAAATGTAACGCGAATCGATCATGACTCATGATTCGTATTACATTTGAATATAATATATTTAGGATTATTGTGTACATTAGTAACATAAATAAGCGAAAGGTTTTATAAACCAGCTACAATTATATGATTGTTATTTTACGTAGCGATTACAAATTTTCTTCTACTCATAAATTTTCAGTTTGTGTTCGCTCAACGATGGAATTGTGTTTTTAATTTAAACGAAACGAAAGTATGCAGAGTGTGGAGGAAATATATACAATTTACAATATAAAAAACACGTATAAATAGAATATAAGCTACAATGATATTATTTCCGTTTTTGTCAATTTTCTTTTTTTAAATTTCAAGATATTTATGAAAAGAATATAAGCGATCATTCGGAATTTAGAATCTCGTATCAGAGAAGATCTTGAAATCTTTGCCATGTTATGCATTGCCATAAAGATAAAGACACAATTGGAAAGACTATTAAATAACCTTTAAAATATATTTGTACGTTTCTTCTTAATTATTTTACGACCATCTTACAAAATAATTAAAAAATGTGATATATTTATCTTTTATCGGTGATCCAATTGACGTACGAACGAATAATTTAACGTTTACGCACGACAAATTAATGAGTATTAAGTGTATCAAAAAGATACATTTGTCGGACAACATATATATTATTGAAATGAACCAATCGAAAGTTATATAGAAAGAGAAAGAAAAATAATGCCCATTCTATAAGATAAGTTATAACCAATAACATGGATTATTTATTATTCGATCATTATATTTTTATCGATTAAATCTAAAAGCATAATGTTCTTTCGTTGTCCGATTATTAATTATTTAATTGCAAACTTGTACACACCGAAGCGTGTAGCGTCGTTGATTAATAAAAAAACGAGACTGTCTTTTTCTTATCTATGCATCTATATATACCTATCGAAATATTTCCTGAAGAAGATTATATAATCGAATATCATTATACAGATATATGCAATTATTTGCTAAATATACGATACTATCGTATACGTTGACAATACGTGTTGAATACTCATCGTCGAAAGATATGTGTGGCATATACATTGATAAAAGAAGTTTTTCGCGTCGAGTGTACGTGAAACAAGTATATAAAAAAAAAAAAAAAAAAAAAAAAAAAAAAAAAAAAAAAAAAAAAAAAAACAAAAAAAAACAAAGAAGGAATGCTACATTTATCCATCCATTTTCGTGATTCCTCAGGTGTCATCGATATCAATTTGACCGTAATCGATGTTCAATGGTTGTAGAGATGCCAACGAATCGTTGAGATTGAACATTTCCTAAAAAAAAAAAAAAAAAAAAAAAAAGAAAAATGTGCGAATCGAAATGTACATCATCAGATGTAAAAATAATTGCCTAATAGAGAAATACATGATTCGAAAAAAAAGAACTCACATAGTCGACGGAAATCGGAGTTGGATATATGCAGGGGATACATTCCATTCGTGTGACACCATTATTATCGGCAGTGCATTCACAGTTTTGACAAGGATTAGGATGCGCGGTCAAGGCTACTCTCTTGGAGAAAACGCTGGCGAATTTCTTAATCGAAGCTAATTTATCGAAGCGTAATTTATCACCGCTGAATATGGTTCCATTGATCTCCAAAGATAAAGGTGTACAGTAGCCGAGCGCGGTTTTTGGAAGTTTCACTTGCCTTCGTAAATCGGTGTCCCCGGTTAACGTTCTGGTATCCTTCTTCGTATACGATTTCGTCGCATCCAATCCGTAAAAGATCTTATTCAATCTCTCTTTTTCGAATTCAAAATCACCGTCCATCAATATGTGAAGGGTGATATCGTGTTCCAATAATACTTCGTGTACCACCGAATAGTCCAGCTGGAAGTGGAAAAAAAAAAAAAAAATTCCTCAACGATAAGAGAAAAGAGGGGAGGTTAAACTAACAAATATGGTGGTCAAATTTCATACCATTTGATTTTCCGGCTCGCAATGCGAGCAAGGCATTAGAATGAAGGTCTTCGATACACCGGCACGGAACACGAGTTTCGAAGCGAAAGCGATTGCCGCAAAAATATCGCGATTCCCATTGCCAACGGGCACGTGATCGAAAAAGTCGGTAAATCGGGCCACGTTCTTGGTAAATATTTGCCCGTCGAAAACTACACTCCTCGGACGATCGAAGACACCGTCCGCACCGAAGGTGACCAAAGACCAACGATTATCCGTCAAACCTTGATCCTTCAACTCTTTGTTCAACTGCGCGACCAAATGATCGATACTACGATTCCCCTTCACGCCCCGATTACACTCTTTGCCCTCAACGATGAACACCACGTCGGTCGAGCTGGGTACCCGATCACCTTCCAATTTCACGAATTGCCCCTCTGCCACTTGATTACCGTCCACCATGCTGCAATTGCTGCACACATCCGGTATTCTGAGATACGTGTCGTGGAACATGCAAATCTGCATGTAAGATAACGCCACGGTACAAGCTTCCGATATACCTTTGCTCGTGACGCACATTTTTGAGTATTCCTTCGGTTTGATCACGTCGAAGCAGCTGACGAACTCCGAACTTTTGTTCGCGAACAAAGTATCGCAAAACTCCAAGATCGTCGAGTCGTCTCCCGATTTGATTTCAGTTTTCGTCTTTCCGGCGGGACAATCTTCCCGATCGATCGACCAACTTTCGCCGAATGCCGTCACGTTCTTCGTCACGACTCCATCAGACGCTGTCATGTCATCCATCGGTTCGTAATTCATCGTTCCAAGAATACCAGCGGTTTTTCCGTGATACCAACCGGACAACTCTAGCGTGCACAAATCGAATTTTAAATTGCACTCGAGTCGAAATTGATTTTGCCTACGTTCCACGGTAACCACGTTTTCAGCCTGATAAACGTACGTAGTCCCATTTTCCAGTTGGATCGGAAGCACGAGATTCTTCGCTTCACCGGGCGATTTTTCCGAGTTTGCAAGTTTGATGCTCTGCAAAAATACAACGTTAATTGTAATAAACGAGAAGGAGAAGAATTGGAATTGGAATTCGTCGAATTTACGTCACAACGTGGGATTAAAATAGTTTTATATATATATATATATTAATCGAACTATATGTACTAACGTCGTTGAAAAAATCTATTTCGAGAGCGTCTTTCCCAAGCAAGACAACGATCTTGCGCGTGATTCGATCGGATCGTTGCTGATACTCGACAAGAATGGCAAAGGTATTTCGCACGAAATCACGAGCCAACAAGTATGTGCAAGAACCGACGAAGTCCGTGTGACGGCCGTCGAAAGTGATGAAGTGTTGCAAGCCGATGATCATCGCTTGGGCTGAAACGAAATTGAAAATTGAAAATTGAAAATTGAAAATTGGTAAAAGGCAAGGGTGATCACCTTACCTCTGAACGGCGGTAGCCAGTTAAACGGATCCATGTACGGTTTGTACCGATAGAGACTCCAGAAGGACACATCGGAGAAAGTGAAGTACGATTTCGCGTCGGAAATAGCTCTGATCTCAGGAATCTCGTGAAACTCTGGTGTTTGATTGAACGCATGCCACGACATGGGAAGTTTTTGTTCCAAACACATCAAACCCTGTCTAGGGTCGAAGATGAACTTTGTTTTCGCTTCCCTGTACCTGTTCTCGGCCTGCAGAGCTGTCTGGCTTACATCCATTAACTTCATGTGAATTAGTCGAATCGCGTTTTCGATTTTCACCTGTACCTCGAAATAAACGTAAACGTCGTACGCCCTTTCGTATATCTGTTGCATCTTTTCTAAACTGTACCGTATAGACGGCAATTTTTGCAATTCCTTCAATTCGGACACTATCTCGTCAACAACTCCCTTCAATTCTTTTCCAAAGGGGACGAAGGTGAAATATCTATCCTTTAAGAATCGTATCGTCAAAGCTGAATATTTTTGAACGTTGGTCACGATGTCGTTCACTTTGATGTCTCTATAAAACTTGTCGATGTCTTGAGTGAGATTACTGAAACGGTCGAAATAGGGGGAGGCGATGAGATCGTTCCTTCGATCGTAAAGAAAATCGACAACTTCTTTGCTCGCCTTCCAGACGACTGTCTCCAGATAGTGAATAAATCTGATGAAAAGCGGTTCCACGAGCAGTAAGAAATGATTCCATTGTTGAGAGATCGACTGAGACATCCGCTCCCATAGATTCCCTATGTATTTGATGAACGACACGTGAAGATCCTTCACGAACTTGTCGTACCTTTCGAGCATCTTGTCGATTATTGTGGCCAATTCTGATATCATGTCGCCTCTTAGAATAGCGGTGACGAACTCGGGAATTTTGTTGAACGTGTTTTTGATCGTTTCTATCACCCAGAGCAACGAGTTCCTAATAGCTTGCCCGGATTCGCCCATTATCTCCCATATTTCGTTCAAAATGCTTGGCAAGGATTCTATGTGACTTCGTAACGACAACTCGTCGATCACGTATATTCCGAAATGTACGATATCCTTGATGTAAAAGTCATTCGCGTTGTAGGAGTCGTTCAAATAAATCTTCAACTCTTCCAAATCCGTGCGAAGCTCGTTCAGATTGCTGCGATACACACAGAAACGTTATCATCGCTCGATATAAATCAATTGGATTTAATATTTCAATAAATAACAAATTAATAGTAAAATAGTTAAAATTATACTCACTTCCAATCTTGGAGAAATTCTTGAAGATCTTGTTGAGCGTCGTCCCACACGTCGGAAACTATACTCGCTGTTTCGCTTTTTACATATTGCTTCCAGTAATAGATATCGTTGTTTATACCGTCGTAAGCGTCTATGACCGTTCCTTTCACGAGAGCCTGCAACGAAAAAAAAAAAAACTTGGAATCTTTTCAACCTTTTTATCGAAGTGAAGAAAAAGGGAAAGAGGAAAGAAAAAAAAGGAAGATCACGAACAACGATATCGGTCTTGAGCTCGGGTCTCCAGCGCAGCGTGGACGTTACGAGTCGGGAATGATTGAGTTTCAAGTAAAAAGAGACATCGGATACGGTTAAGTCATCCTCGTACGTTCTCCAAATGTTGAACACAGCGTTCCGAGCATCGGGAATTCTGCCGTACATTCGTAAACTTTCCACGGCATCTGTCGATTTTTATGAGTGAATTAATGAACGATAATTAATATGGACAACAATTAACCCTTTGCACTCCAGGCCTGTTTCGCTCCAGATTCGGATCCGCGCGTTCGGTGGAATTTCTTACAGCTAATTTATAATGATTTCACGCGCAAATTAACGCACAAAACTTTTATATTTTAATATTTTATGTGTCTTATATAAAGAAACTAAATTTATCGAATATTAAAAATCTATATTGTTGTTTTGTAGGATTGTTTTATGAAGCAATTATCAAGACGCATCCTCGGTTTGTCGGGGCAAGTATTTTTCTTTCTAACTTTTTTATCGCATAATTATTTCGCGCACTATTTCATTAATAAATTCATCAGTAAAAAATAGTTTTAAAAAATCTAATGGTTCATTAATATTCGAAGATATTTTCTATAAATTTTTCACGAATTGTATTCTTCGCGATATATTTTCCGATTCTATGCGTGTTATCCATTTGGAATTTTCTGTATCTTCCGCGATATCTTCACTTGATTGGTTTCACTATCTATTATTCTTATTTTTCGCTTCTTATACCTCTTATTTCATCTCCATGTTCATCATTACTCTCTTTATCGTTAATTTCTTTACGAATAAAAGTAATTTTGTCATTCAATAACGAAAAATCAAACTAATCTTCGCTTCAATTAATTTCATTACCGTATTCCATGCTTACAATTCTCAAAAACTTTGAAAATAATATTTCTATTTCTATTGAACGACGAAAGATGTCGTTCGACTCGCGATCACGGTCTAACTTGAGATAAAAAATCTACCCATTTAACAATACATTATTCTACACCTCACAAGATTATACGTAAAGAGGTTAGGAACTTATTTATGAAGCGATATTCTAAAAAAATCTTAAATCGCATAAATAAATATTGTCGCCGTTCAAATTGCCGCATCGATCCAAGTAGTGCCGTTGAGAGTCACCGTTGGAGCGCAAAGAGTTAATATTATCGAAAGACCAATTATCGATATACTGACCTGGAGTATAGTTGACCATCATCCATGTTAATTTTTCACCCGGATCGAGGAAAATGGCGCCGGTGGCGTTCAAATTTGGCGTATTCGCGACACTTCCGTTAACGACGTATCGACCATCGAACGAATAATACCGAATATTCAAGTATTTGACAGCTTCGTTATGCTCTCGTTGGAAAACCAATTCGTCGCGAACTAAATCGAGCCTCGCGTTTAATTTTCCGGTATCTCCGGTTAAAAAGTTACGTTTGTAATTTCCATCGTTCTGGATCACGAATAACGTGTTGTTAGATTTGAATACGAATCCATGCACGTTCAAATCGAATCTCGTGCTTGGATGCTTACCCCTTATCCGATAGGAGTATCTGTTGAAAATCGGTAAATCACTCTCGTTTTTCAACGTCGCGGACAGCACGAACAATTTGCTCGGGTCGGTGGAGTAATCGGCCGTGAGGGTAAAATTGATCGAATCTTTGGAATTAATTTTCGCTAGCTCGCCTGTCAAAGAGGCCTGCCTCGAAAAGCTGGGATGCCTCAAAGCGAAACTGGCTCGCTGATGCACGTCGTTCTTATCGGCCGATGACAGTTTCCTCCAGTTGAACAACGCACCGACGGTTTTAGGCCTTTCCGTTTCTTTGTCCCAGTCGAGTTTCAACTCGGACTCGAGTTTCTCGCTGTTGATCCAATAAAAACCATCGAGACTGAAATTTCTTCGGGGATAAGAGACGTTTAAAACGAGAAATTGATTCTCCACGTCCTCGGTCGTTTTGTTCAAAATGTTTATGGAATAGGATATCCAAACGTCAGGGGCAAGACTGAACCAGCTGGTTTGCTCGAATTCACCCGGTAAAACTTGATACTCGGTCTTCAATTGCACGGTCTTGTTCGAGTGTATCGCCTTCAAACGGATATCTTGGCCGGTGTGAGTCGTTCTGATCCACGATTCGCCCACCACGTTGAACGCCGTTTCGTTATCCAATCGGTACAAGTTGACGTGTTTGAATTCCACGGTCGGATAATTCGTACCTTCGTTCCCTGCGCTGTACTCGTACTTATTTATATAAACGATGCCTATCGGTTTGTACGAGTTCTCGATCATGATTTGCGTATGATCTTTCTCGAAACCGGCCCTCGACACGCTCGTCGAATTGTATCGACCGTGAAGAACGTTATTCCCGTTGTACGTTAATTTGGAATAACCGGTGGTCGTTTGCGGCCGTTTCTTGTAACCGTACGTCAAATGACCGACATGGCGCGTGTTCAAAGGAATTTCCGCGTGCAATATTCCTTCGAGATCCGAATTCAATTTTTCGCTCCGATAATTGTAATCGGAGTCGAGGATCGCGACGTTTTGCGGCCAATACACTTTCGCGTATCTTCTGTTTCGTTGCCTGCAACACGCATATTAATATATCGTTTACGATCGAAACGAATAAACGTAAAAAGATTCTCACTTACAGAGTGGTGAACACGATGAATTGACAGCCTAACTGCGAAACGTTGACCAGAGGTAAGATGGAATCGATGGTCCCGTTCACGTTCATCAAACTTTCGTACGATACGTTTGCCGAGGCGATACGCGTGCTCGCTGGATAATACAGTTTGGCATTTATCGCCCGTTTGTCGCTCGACTGGTCCATAGCGTTATAATCGAACAAGAAAACTAATGTTTCTTGTTGTTGGAATTTCGGAGTGTACAGCGAATATTTCAGTTCGATCTCTTTATTGTCGAAGCTTAAATTGAACACGTTATTCACGGATTGAACGGGTAATATTCCCCAGGAGGCTCGAATATGTCCGTTGATGTCTCCCGTATTCATGTGTATCTGCACAGACATATCGTTATTACCATTTGATTATCACACCCGATCTACCGTACCGACCAAATATGAAAAGGATAAAATTTAAATCGTGAAAATGCGTTTGATCACACACACATACGCACACACATACGCACATACTAGAACGTACCGAGCCATCAGAAGCGTAGTTGACTTTGGCGCGCAAAGCGTTGTAGCCGATCACGTAAGACGCATCTTTGACACCTTGGTTGCCGTGATAGCTAACGAGAAGACGATGATCGTCGTTGTTGGGAGGTGGTAATCTAACGGTGAACACTCCGTCGATATTCTCGTGATTACGGAACCCGATCGTCGCGTTTGCCGCGAATTTCCATTTCTCGCGATCGACGTCCAAATCAAAACCAACGTCCACGTTCCTGAACGCGTGACGAGGATTCTTGAAAAATAATCGGGTGTCGACGATTTTGTCCTCTGCCTTTCTCGATCCTTGATGTCCGATCAATACTCTTCCTAATAAATCCTCTATGTATAACAATTTCCATTGAACGGTTACGTATCGACATTGCTCGTTCAACCAATTAATTATCCGAACGTCACCGCTATTGTTCGACGTTAACACGCTTCCCTCCAAACTCACGTTTCGAATCTCGGCCAATGGTGTTTCAGCGTTAACGTACAACGTCGTGTTACCGTTCTTCTCGATCTTCGTAAAAGCGATTAACCCAATTCGATTTTTCTCGCCTGACGATTTAAGAAAATTCGCATCGACTCTTACGTCCCAATTCAAAGAATCGATCAATTTTGCATCGATCGATCCGTTTATCACATAACCTATCAAATCAACTTTCAGTCCGTGCTCTTCTCTTTTCATTTCCACGCGTAACACGTTTTTGTTATTGATTTCACCTTCCTTTGGCCACACTGTCACATTAAAAGCGCGCAAACAACCATTTTCCGTCGATTCAAAGGTACCAGAAACACTACGCGTTTCCATTGTTACGCGATTACGCAATTGGCCATTAAACGCGCGCACTTTTGAATCGTTTGAAACCATTTTCGCGGTTTCGCCGTGAAACTCGAAATGTGGCTTATTGCTCGAGACAGGAGTGTACATCTCAACTTTCACAGTACCATCTTTGCTATAATTTCCCGATAATTTGTATTGGTGATGGAGCAAATGTTTCGCTAAAATGTTCAAATTCGCGGTACCGTTGCTCGCGATCGTGTTCGAATAAGAAAGCTGGATCTCGATGTTTTTCAATAACTCTATCCAAGATTTGAAAGCCACAAGAGCTTTGATATGATCTTCCGTCGCGTACCAGTTCGATTGGAAGAAAAAGGAGATAGGTTCGGCTACTTCACAAGTCACTTTCGCGTATTTCTCTTTCACGGTAAATTCGCGTTTAGCGGTCACAGTGGATTTCGGTAACTTGAGCAATGGTGTATCGATTTCGATAACGAGAGTCGTATCCGTTAAAGTTTCTTCCGATTCGAGAGTTCCGAACAAATCGATCGTGCTATTCGGCGCGCGAATATCGAGTTTTGCCTTGTAAATGTTCTCATCGATGTCCAGACTGGTACTCGTGCGAATGAATTTTATAGATTCCAGAGGAGTTTTCAAATTCAATTGTAACGCGTGCATGTGAGAGTCGTCCGATTCGTTCTCACGATACGCGTAAATCACGAACAATCCGGTCTCGTACCAAGTCGTATTTTGCCGCACATTTACGATCACTTCCATTTTATAATCGTTCGTTTCTAGATCAACGATGAACGAATTTACGCAAACGATCTCGTTAACGAACTTGAACGGAACGATCACGTTCAATTCGTTTTTAATATTGAAGAGATCCTCCATCCAGAATGTATCGTCCAATAGAATCTTTTTATCGAAGTATCGCAAAGATCCGGCAACCTTGTAAGTCGATCCTTCTTTATCGATATCCAGTTCTCCTTCGATAGGTTCGACGATCGCGAGACAAACATCGATTTCCGCGTGCCAATGAAGGTTAGCTTCTTCTTCTTCCTCTTCCATGATTTCTTCTAACTCCTCCTCTTCGATCGTATCTTTTTTTCCTTCAGTCATCTCCCTGTTATTGCCACGTTCCTGCGAGTAATCCTGCGTTTCTCTCGATTCTCCAATTTTCGTGCGATTGTTCTCCGCGATAATCGGAGATTTAATCGATATAGTGACTGGTGCAGGTTTTGGACCAGCTTTGGCTCTCGCACCGAATTTCGTCTCGCCCAATTTTTTATCGGACAATCTTAAAGAGAATTCCGTATCGATGTCAAAATAATTATCTTGAGTGTTTATCGCGATCAATTTGGCAACGATTCCGCTCTCCTCGAAACCATCGAGTGGCGTAAATAATACGTATCTGTAATGAAAATCAGTGATATTGTGATAATGCCAAATTCCTTGAAACCCACCGACCATGCGGTTATACCCGACACGAAAATCAGCCTCTCGCTCGTTCAACTTGGCGATCATGAGTAACCTGCGAATCATTTCCAACGGAGTTGCGAGCAATAGTTTAACATTAAAATCGTGATTCGGCGTGAAGAATTGACAGAGTGCTTCGAAACCGATATCGCCGACAGGTGTCACTATCTCCGCGACCACGTGTTTATTCTTCTCCGAGAGGCCGAATCTTCCACGCACGAGAGAGAACTTTTCCAAAGGAGTGGTGACGTTGAATTCCACCATGGATTCCTTCAAAAGATGCAAATCGCCGACCAATCTTCCGCTATAAATTTTCTTGTCCAGATTCAAATTAGCCGCCCCTAAGAACTTCCAATCCTGCAACACTTGCAATTGGCATTTCATGTCGGTCATCTTGTAACGAGTTATCGGCGATTCGAAATGCAAATTGCCGGTCAAGTTGAAAACATTCTCCGATTCTTTGTCCAAATACCAAATACTCCAAGCGTTGATAACTTTATCCAGATGATATTTCACCAATAAACGAGTGTCGGCGATTTCCGAATTGACTATTTTGTGGGTTATGTTGACGATAGTGGACGGAATAAATTGTACCGAACTGTTTAACCCATAATTGATTCTCCACTCTCTAACATCGTCGTGTTTTTCCGCACTTCCATCCAACTCCGCGATCAAACGTTGCGAATCCTTCCAATACGCGCTGCTACTCACTTTTATCCGATTCTGTTCCTTCGTATACCTGCAAAACGATACGAATCGATCAACTTATATACATGTCTTATACACATGTATCAGAATTAAACATTAAAACCGTTTGGACCCGTTGAAAAAGTAACTTTATTTCAACTAATTATTTATTAAAATGCTTAAATAACGATTTATTCCTTATTATTACAATCGATCCGCTTCTTATATAATCTCGTTTGCCATTACAATTATTTGCAATTATTATTACTGTTATTAATAAAATAAAAGATAAATCATCGAAGTGGCTATTAAATTTTACGCCCATCACTGACATACGTAATAATGACGTAATACATAATTCATCATAGGGAAAATACACAGAAATTAATGGAATAAAATTTCCAGTTACTTGCCTAGCGTTTAAAGCAGTTTTTTTCCAATTTTCAAACGGTGTGACCAATCGTGTCTCCAAACTGGTAAAGCTGATCATCTCGTTCACCTTGTATTCCGTCGCGATAAATAATTTGATCGTTTGTTCCGGATTCCAATCGAGGGAGGCGTCTACGACGTAATCGTAATAACCGCGCGCCGTTACCTGACACGAGCAAACAACGAAGCGGCCCGGATACGTGAGGGTGGCTATACCGCTGACGTTTCTCTCGATTAATTGTTCCTCCAAGTTGGAGGGATTATTAACCGCTAGCAATTGAATCGTTTGCCAATTTAAGGAGGAGAACAGGGCGAGCTTCAACGCGGGGTCACGATTCGCGTCCCATTTCACTTCCGCTCCGAATCCTTTCTCGTTTCTCTCGTTGATACCTGTCAACGCGAGATGGACGTCTCGCCACTTGTCCAAGTGTATCTCCATTCGAATCTCTCGCTCGGTGTTCACGTCTGTCGTCACCGAGTACACGCTCCCCTTGTACCTTCCCTCCACGTACGATATCAAGTTTGTCGGCGACGCCACCGTGTGATTTAAGACGAACGCGTACTTATCCCGATCCACCTGCTCCACCCGCAAATCGACCCTGATGTCGCTGTAATTTCGATACAATTTGCAATGGACGAGAATGTCGTTGATGAAACTAGGGGATTTCAAGACGAGTTTTAAACTGTGGCTAACCACGGTTGCCACCGATCTATCCGAATATGTGCCCCGCGCCGTCACGTTGTGCCCGTTGAACCAAGTTCCCGAAAGATCAAGCTCGTACATTCGCTTCGATCTCTCCGTGATTCGTACGTCGACCAGCATCGAATTGAAGTTTGGGATCGTCAAGTTCGCGTGGCCCTCCACAGCGAACGTTAGGCCACGTGGCATCAACAAGTTCACCGTTAAACTGATCTCTTTTCCTAAAAAAAAAAAAAAAAAAAATATTGAACAGGGAGAAATTATGAATGTGAATCGAGCAGAGATGGATCGAGAAGGATGGTTGGAACCGACCTGGTGCGTATCCTATCAAGAAGCTCGTTTTCGACTCTGGCCCCATAGCGTAGTGATTAACTTTCACTTTGACGTCCAATTTTTGAATAGGTTTCGTTATGGCGATTAACGCGCTCACTTTCGTGTCTTGGTTTTGAAAATACGTCTTCGAATAAAAAATGATCAATTGGGCGGTAAGTTTGTGACGATCGTCCATAAGATAAGGACTCGAATTTACTTCCGCGTGCAACTCGAGGTGGCCGAGCGCTTGCTGGTACCAGGCGATTATCACTGTATTTAATTGTGGATACGCGGTGGAATGTAACTTTAGATCGATCGTTTTATGCGTCAAAGTTTTCGAGGAGCGATTCGAGGACGATAGCTCGAGGCGAACGGTTTCCTTCTTAGCCATTGTTTGCAACTGATATTCCAAGTTGAAGACGCTGGTCAAGCTTATGTTTCTGCGAGCGATGTAACCTACCAGCTTGCTCCACACCTTTTTCGTTTGAAACGTCAGATCCACGTTGCATTGGGAAACGTTATTTTTCGAAGCATTTCGAATCGTACCTTCAACAAACAATATCATTGAAAATTGTTTTCTCGACTTTTCGAAATTGATCGAATCGAGAAAAAGAGGAAAAATATATAGAGATGAACCTTGGAGAGCGGCGATCAGTTCATTGTTCACTATCAGATGCATTTGAGGGGCAAACGTGTATCCGTAGTGAAATCTTTTAATCGCGTAACCCAAACTCGCGTCCAGATGCTTGGTACCATTTATATCAAAACCAATATCCACAACCGTCTCGTTTTCCGTGCTCTTGTAAGTACCTAAAAACAAAAATTATATTATAAATAATTCGTATCGAGTATCTAATCGGATGGAAACGAATAATTTTCGTTATTCTCTTCGTTATTGCGAAGAAGCATAATTACCTTCCGCCACCAGAGAATTTCCAGCGGATCGCAATAAAACGGTAACATTGTGAGTTTTTGCATCGAAGGAAATCATCGCGCTTAATTCCCTGTTCACTTGCGATCCAGACGTATCGTATGCGATTTTAAAAGTATTTTCATCCTAGGATGGAAACGAGGGAGAAATGTTAAAGCTTTGTTCGAATAGAAGAAAAAAAAAAAAGGAGAGGAGGATACCTTGTTCTTCTCCCACGTATACTTGAAGAAATAATTTTTGGCAGTCGGGTCAGCTTTGATCAAGGCAATCTTGAAAAGTGTGGGGCCGTTCAAAATAAAGTAAGGCGCGTTAGGATTTTTGGTTACGTTCGATAATTGATAATCGAGGCACAGCTTCAATCCTACTAATCTGTCAAGAGCGGCCCAAGTGCAACTCGTGTTGGCGATCACGTTTTTTGGCAGGGACATGGGTCGCGTCAAACTTCGATCGTTGCTGTGCTGGCCAGCGATTAGTACTCCGAGCGGTTTTTCCTCGTGTTCGGCCCCGTTACCTCTCGTCAAAAGAATATCGGTGGCGATCGAGAACATTTCCGTCCTTTTATTCGGTAGGCCTAAACTGAGTTTGATCGAGCGTACTCCCTTTACCTCTAGGTGGATTTGAACCGCACCCGAGGAGTACAAGTTTGTCCGCAATTTAGTTCCGGCCGTTTTGTAAAAAGCGTCCACGGTCATGCTACCGGTCGTGTCAACGTTTATGCTGCACACATATAGAGGAAAAAAGTAATCAAACACGTAAACATGATCGGTCGATAAGTATTATGCACGTGTTAGATATTCGTAAATATTCGTAATCATACCTAGGTGCCACATTGCTGATAAATTCGATTTCCGCCTTGGAGATCGCTCTGGTATCCAATAATCCTGACATCTTGAAATTGCACGCCGCAGAGCCAGCAAGATCCAAACGTACCGGTAGCCCCGTCGTCATTGGAACCACGTAAGTGAAATCCAAGAACATTATTTCGTGGTGAATTTCTTTCCCAGAAATGATTTGTTTAAACTTCTCCCATGGATTCAAGTGTATCAAAGCTTCTCTAATTTCACGATCGCCGTTCAACGTCGAATATTTCAAATCATTCCCGAACACCTGCACGAAAGCGAAAAATTATCGTACGACGGATATGACGCCTCGTCGAACGATCGTCAAATGTTTCTTTTTCTCACCTTGTAAGTAAGACTGATTCTTGGCTGGTTGAAATTATTGTCGATAACGTTCGGTATCCGTTTCACACGTTTCCAATAATCCTCTTCCTGTTCAGGGGCTGCTCTGAAGCTTCGGAATAATTGAAGAAAGAAACTCGATACTTTCTCGTTACTGTACGGTCCATCGGGGCCGAAAAATTTCTCCGCGTAATATTCAAGTCCTTCGAGTCTAGTCGTCACTTCAACAACGTTTACAGATTCGCCAAACAGATCGAAAGTCAGGTTAAACGTAACTGATCTAGGTATGTAGGATTTAGGAGAGAAGATAAGATTCCCTTGGTAATTGGCGCCGAAATTGTACTCTTCGGAAAAGAAGGAACCATCGTAATTTCGCGAAAACTTTCTTCTGTCATTGTTGAACTTGTCGTCGAGATCCCGATCCGTCAACAGACTTTGAATTTCCACTTTGGTCGGCGAAGCGGAATTGTAAATATTGGTTAAATGACTCCAAACGAATGTACCGACTGTGGGCAAAGAGATTCGAGAATCGTATAATGTAACGTGAATTTTTTAACATCGATTTCGATAAGGAAAAAAAAAAATTAGGAAAGAAAAATACCTTGATTAATCTCCTCCAACTTCAAAGTGTGTTTGATCGTTTTCACGACGTTATAATCGGGACAACGCATCACTTGCAAGTAAGATGCAATGCGTAATTCAGTATCCAAAGTAAAATTTCGATAGTAATTCAGAAAGTAAAGGTCTCGCGTTCTCTCGCAAGATGGCATTCTACGATGGGCATCGATACTCGCTACGCGAACCTCCATCGGCAGAAATCCTCCCACATCGTCTATACACTCTTTCAATAATTTTGACAATCTCTCCGTCTCCAAACCCATATTTCCAATCGCTTTCAACGCCTCTAATGTCTATAAAATCAAAAGTAAAAAGAAGAAAAAACAATCGAAACGTTTCTCGAGCTTTACTTACTCTCGAAACGTACCTCCTTGATCGTAGAAAACGAATGCTTTCGAGGTGCACAACCCTTCTCGAGTTTTTGCTCCAAATGCGAGAGAAATCGCGTCACTTGTTCGACGTTGACGCAACGTTGCACACCTTGGTTGGAGCAAAAAGCGTATATCGTAGCTGAATAACTCAATATGAATTGAGTTTCCGAAAATTGGCGAAGCTCGAGAAGAGGCGATAATATATTGATCGTGTTTCGATCCGGTTGCGGGATGAACGCGAACGCAATTATCCAATTATCGATCGTCGTTTGATCCACGTATCGTTTTATCATCAAATCTCTCATCACGTTCAGTGCAGCGTTGCTACCGATGAATGGCAACGCGTTCACGATGTGTTTCCTGAAAAGGAATATATAAGAAAAATCGAGAAAAATATGCAAGATGATGATTTCGTGAAAAATCGATAAAGGTGGCCGCTACTCACTTGCCGGTCTTGCAAATGCCATCGGCTCTGGCGAACAATTGCGACAAGGAGGGATAATCGAGAAATCGCGCCGATTGGATAAACGCTGTGAACATCTCGGAGAATCGTTGCTCCAACTCGTCCATGCTTATTCCCAATCTGCACATCGCCTTTAACAAATCCCTCGAACTTCTCAATTCGCCGTGCATAGTCCTCGGCGTTTTCGAATAATCGTACAACAAGCTGCTTCTTCTCCCGCGATTCGATCCTCGAGCGTATTTACTATTATTAATCTCCTCTCTCTCTTCCACCTCCTCGTCCTCCTCTCGCTCGGTCCCGTACTCGTCGCTCGCCTCGTATCCATCGTCGAAACCGTAATCGTCTCTCGATTCTTTGACCAATCGAAGCGTGGCCGCGGACTCGGTTCTCGCGCCCGTATCGCCGCTCGACAGCGGCAGCAATCTGTGCAACTCCTTGCACGCGATCTTCTCGTAGATCTTACGATCGATCGTTAACTCGCACTCGGCGTGAGACGCGAAAAGAGGATGACGAGGGGCGCGAGAACGAGGACTTTTGTAAGAATTGGAACGGATCACGGAGAAGTATTTCGACCCGTGGTCGCAATTCGACAAATCTTTCGTTTTCTTCACGATCAGACTGGTTCGTTTCGCTCCGTGGAAGCGGTAACTCGTCTCGCAGACACCGTTCACGTCCACCTCGTTGGCGCGGTGATCCACGTCGAATCTCTCCATGGTGTTTTGCAGCATCGATAGCACGCCCCTCTTCAAGTTTAACGCCCATATCGGTTCCCGTTTGTCGGGGCATAACTCGTCTATTTGACCGTCGTCAAAAGTGAATCTCAACGGGAAACGTTCCAGATTCACCTTGAAATCCGCGCCGGCCCGGTCCGGAAATTCCGGATTGTATTTTCGACGATCGTGGCTCAGGCTCGTGTTCTCGAATCTCAGGCTACCCTCGCAAGGGCCGTTGAAACGAATCAACAAATCCGCGTCCAGTCGTAACGTTGACTCGTTGCCGGGGAAATCGGACGATAAAGTTGGCAACGACGACGCGTTCGAATTGCCCAAATTCGTGCTCACATCCACCGAATATCTGTACCAATACGACACGTTTTCTTCGTATTTGAATTTTTTGCTCCCCGTCGCTGTAAATATATTTTTTTAAACGATCAGCTTTTCCTTATCCGAGATTCTTAGAGAATCTTTAGATAACGTATTGTTTACCTTTGCATCTCGTTCGGCCGCACAACGTTGATTCTTTGACAATTTCTGTGAATGAGATTTTGAGTCATCGAGTTAAACAAAGCCTTTTATGATTCTTACTTAGAAATATAATATATATATATATATGTGTGTGTGTGTGTGTGTGTATATATGGTATAGATACTTGTTGCACTTTAGCGAGATAACGAGAGCACCGATACGCATATATTCGTATACATTCTAAGATATAAATTCTTGGAAAGAAAAGTTGAATAACACGCGCCACAGATAACCGAATGATAAAAAAAAATAAAAATAAAAATAAAAAAATCGACCGATATTAACAAAGCGATAAATTATTCTATAAGTTCGATTTCGTTTGATCTCGTAAAAAATTAAAATTACCAGATTGTGCACCGAGAATGAAACAGATCGTCGGGAGAAGAAAAATGATGGCTTGGCCCCACGATCCTGGCTTCTGATTCCAAATCATATCGCTGGTTATGGCAGCCGGGATGAATCTATCTGATTATTCGTTCATCGATAAGCTCGTCCCCTTCATCCCCTTGAATCCGTGACGAAAAATCTTTTTTTCGTTGTAATTTTCAAACTGGAATGAGATCACGCGCGATTCAACACTAGAACACTTTTGACCGAAATAAAATCCGATGTTTGAATTCCTCGATCGAATATTTCGATCTCCTTTTTTCCCTTCTTTTTTCTTTTCTCTCCTGTCACTCTCTCACACGATCCCTTCAGTTTTTTAACTTGGATATCAAATGATTTTAAAAATTTGATAAAAAAATAATGAAATAAAGTTTGAAACGATTAAGATGAAAGATGAGATGGTATACCGTATCAAAGATATATAGATATATAGACTGTATCAAGGAATCACTGATCGAGCGGAAAGATCGAACTAAGGACGGAATTGGGGTGCAAAACAGGCCGCTGCGATACTCGTTTGGTGGGAAGCACAACGACACGATAGATCGGTTAAGTAAGTGCTTCCTGCCCCAATCGTTTTCGCTGACCGAATGGACAACGACATCGAACTAACTACGCTGCTACTCTTTTCAGAGGGGAGAGGATCAGTACCAAAGGTCTTCTTATTTTTCGTGTTTGTTAAAGGTTACAGGTCATAACTAGATAAGATAACCACGAAAACGATCCTTTCCGTCTATCTAAGATTTTTACATCATATTCTATACGAATATTGTTTACATTATGATCACTGTTCCTCGTAATTATACTTTTTTCTATTATTTTACTTTCTCGTTCAGAAAACATTATTTTACATTTTTTGTTCTTTTTTTTTTATTTTATTTTATTTTAGAATTTATTTTAGAATTATCGTATTGATATTGATTATTATCTGCCAAAATAAAAATTTTTAAAAGAGATCGAACAAAAGTCGAATATTTTCTGAATTATATTTCTTAGAATTACGATTTAAGAATAATAAAAACCATTGGCGACAATTTTCTGTACATTACAAAATAAACGCGAAAAATAATTGATCAATTACGAGTTGTTCAAGATCTATGAAAATAAAGTCAAAAAGATCAAAACTGCATCATTTATATAAATAAATTTTTCTATATATAATAAATTCTCTAATAAACATTAAATTTTTATAAATTGTGTACTATTTTTAAATTAAAAAATAATCGATGACATCGATTTATAAGAAATATCCACAATCCTATGAAATTAATCCAATGAATAGATAACAGTTAGACTTTGCTATTCATATACGTATTATACAATCATTCTATCGTTAAAATATTTTCTTGAAATCATTATCCATATTTGATTAATGATAAATCGTATATTTTAAATACGAAATTATTTAAATATTATTCCTAATTTATTTAAATTAGGAAATATATTTAAAAAGTTATGTAGAAACTAATATGAAAATAATGACAAGATTTTTTGAATCGCTTCGAAATTTAAATTAAAAGAAACAACGTAAATGCATGTTATGTTTCACGACTGATTTCACGATATGTCGAATTTTAACAAACCAATCATAGATTAGTTGCCGTATGTATTTTGAAAAGAATGTAATCATACTTGTGCAAACTCTTTGTATTGTATGGAATCGTTTCTCGCTGATTGGATGTTGGAAAATGCGACACGCTTCTAACAACGAATCAAAATGAAGTACTTTCTACGCAGTAAGATGAAAACGGTGGTGTGTACTAAACGTTTGAAGAACGTAGCGCGAGGGATGTGAAAAGTGTTTTTTCACAACCTGTGACTAACTGGCCTGTTTTTTTTTCTCATTACGTCTCGTTGGATGCGTCGGGCACTCAGCTGTGGTGCGGGTATGTGACGACGGAAGATGTTTTGATGGTAAAGATTCGTATACCGAATTTTCACCCGAAACACGAACTGTCATCCGTTCGAAGATCGAAACGGACTTCGTTACGTGTATCGGCGGAAAAACAAGCAATTTATGATGGGGACAGATCTCGAAATATCCCACGTCAAAGTTATCGTGATCGTTTAATCGTGACGTTGGGATTAAAGAACCAAAGTACGTTGTCCGAGAAACGCAAAGCTAGAACTGACGTTCTTTCAAAATGGGAAATTGTTTGAAACGCGCTGGAAGCGGTCAACAGGACAATACCACTTTGCTGAGTAACAATCCTGATCCTCCTACATTGACTAGCGGTTCTTTACAAGAAGGCCTTGGACCTCCGATACCTAACAATGTAATTTTCTTTCTTTAATTTGATCAATCGTAATTTTATTTCTTACTTCTTTCGTCTTTGTTATATTTATAATTTGTATTTCATCCTTTTTCTTTTATTTTACTTTTATATTTTTATGATGAAAACATTTTTTTTTTATAAAAATAATATGACGATATATATACATATGTAGATATCTGTGTATATATATATATATATATATATATATACATACACATATTAATCATAATAATTGATTTTTGTTATGAATTTTATCATATTTGACAATATCCAATTAAATTTCATTGTTCAAGAAGTTAACAATAAATTTTATTACTTTGCTAAAGTATTTTAATTTTTTGAACTTAGTTAAACTTATACTTGATTTCACAGGAGGCTGTAACCTTTTCTTATGCACCAGTTTTTACAAGGGAACTTCATCTTCAACAAATTGGCATTGGTGTTAATCTAGGACCAGGTAGTGAAGAAGAACAACAAGTTAGAATAGCAAAACGCATAGGACTTATTCAACATTTGCCTATGAGAGAATATGATGGGACTAAAAAAGGAGAATGCGTGATATGTATGATGGAGCTCCAGGTGGGAGAGGAAGTGCGTTATTTACCTTGTATGCATACTTATCATGCAGTATGTATCGATGATTGGTTGCTGCGTTCCTTGACTTGTCCATCATGCATGGAGCCTGTAGATGCAGCATTGATTAGTTCATATCATCCGACCACTTAACACCAAGGAGATGGAGAATGAAATAGCTAATCGGTAATCAAACTATATTATCGCGATGAAACAAAGAAATTGGAAAAGATTATTAATTTTATTATCATATATAATGGCTTCTAAATAGCAAAAGGGTATTTTCTTCTTGTTATGGCTAAATTTGCCATTGTATTCAAATATATCTGTTCGCATGCTAATAATAATATTGTATTATAAGAAATTAGAAATTTCTTCTATATAGACATCATTCCCTCTTACAGGGTAATATTCTGCACGTGGATCATAAAAAGAAGTAAAGTGTATTTACGATCAAAATGCAATCGCCATAGTTGTTAATTTTCTGCTAAATCTAAAGTAGCTTTCCTTTCATATGGCTGCAAAAGGTATCCTATTTTATGCTCAAGTAACTGGAGCAACCAAGAGATGTAAGATTTTGCTGAAAACACTTTAAGTTGAATAAAGAATAGCAGCTACTTGACTTTGGTGATTTGGTCAAGTAATTATAGACAATTATACGCATTGTGAATATCATGAATAATATTCATCACAAAATGTCACATTATGTACATTTTTAATTATAATTGCAACAATTTCACATTTTCAAATATTTGATATCTATTTTCGGAATATATCTTATGATATATAAAATTAATCATATTCTTTTTAAATGTATTATTTCTCATTTCAATGTAATTTGATTTCATCATTCTTTAAAAACATGGAAAACAAAAATATTAGAATTCGGAATTTTTTACATATAATCCGAATTATTTTACACAAAAACTGCTTATGATTATATATTTATATTATTATTTATCATTTATATATATATTTTATACATTACAATACATTCAAATTATTTAAAAGCTTCAGTTCATTGAAAAAATTTGTATATTTGTATAATTACGATTATAGCGAGCATTATATGTGCTATCGCATTAATATTTTTCATCATAAGCAGTGCAATTATCAAAGTTTTATTCAATGGAATTAAATATGTATTGTTTTTTAATGTTTTTTCATTTCTTTTCTTTGCTATTAGTAATGAATACATAACACAATAGATATCTACAAATAAGAAAAAAAAGTCATTCTTTATTTTTATAAAGATATTCATAAAAATATACATATTAGAATTTTTGTGAATGTTATCATTGAAATTCAAAATGCAATTTCAACTACAAATGAAAGAACGGAGTTCGCGTAATTGTTTAGTTGTTCAATTCAAGTTCGATATAATCGAAATTTTGAACAAAGAAATTGCACGATGAGTAAGTTATTCAACTTAGATTTTCACATGGACTTAAAACTCGTAAATAAAATTTTCATAATAATAATAAAAAATTATTATAATAATTATAATAATTATTATAATTTTCCAATACATAAAAATTCAACGATCGATTTCATATAAAGAATGTAAATGTATATATATTCTTTTAAGAATATACGTACGCATATGCATACATATATTTCCTACTTGGACGAAAATATTTTAATGTTTTACGAGAGCTTCATGTGTGTAATGTTATTGATTTGTTTGGAAAAAAAGTGATGCTGTGAAATAGTGATTTATTGACAAAATATAAATATAAAAATAGTGATCTAATAATAATAATACAAATATAAGTATTTAGTAACAATTTATGATTTTTTCAACAATACCTATCCTTATTTATTAAATAATAATTTGAAATTAAATAATAATTTAATTTATTAAATAAATTTCATTCTATTTCGTAAATTGATCGTAAATTGAAATTCATTCTACGAGAATTTTCATGTTATATAAAATTATAATGAAAAAAATAATCATAGAATATGTTTGTGCTAAATATTAATTAAAATAAAGTAATCCTGAGACATTTCATAATAGCATATATATTTTACAATTAAATATATGTATATGTATAAACCAGTCTTGTAAATAATTCTACATATTTTATGATAGCATTAGAAATATTAATATATTCATCGAATAAAAGTATATAAGCTAGTGACAATTTATTTTGATTGTTTTCAAGTACTTTTCAATACACAATGAATAATTTATTAACTTATGTGGAAAACTTAAAGGTAAATCTTGATCCTTATTTTTTTTATTAAACTTATATAGTGTATTTTTTTATTAAACTTATATTGGTTCGATACTATACTTAGAAAATATTACTAGCTAGGAAATAAATTTCTAGTAATATGAAGGTTGGATCATTGTGAAGAAATAGAATACATAGGAAAGAAGGAAAGAAAGAGAGAAAGAGAGAGAAAGAAAGAAAGAATGGTATCGCGCAATCAGTGAGGGAGTTTCGCATCGGTCCGTGGGCGTCATCATGGTGTGTGGGTTAAAGCGTTTTTAAGAGACAAGTTTGTTTTTAATCGATAGAACGTGGTAATTTTTATTATTACGGTGATGCTTTTACAAGTAATGTTGCCGTTATTCCACGAATCGCTATGGAGAAAAGTATTAGTACGCAGTGTACAGTTACGAAATAAATTTTAAGCAAAACGGTACGACGATGTATACAATGTCGAATACAGAACAAATTTTTTTCGATCATCGATTTGTGTGGAAATACAAATGGGCGATTATATTATTAATATTATTTCTAACTTCATCAAACTTTATAAAAGCCAACAAGATATCGTATGGCAACACAAAGGATAATCAATGTCCTGTTGAGTGTGACTGTCTTGGAAATGTGGTGGACTGCATTAACTTACAATTGATTGGAGCACCCAGCGGACTACCACCATGGACAGAGATCTTGTAAGTAAATAATTGCATATTATCCTATCAAGAAAAATGTACATCATCATTGTATTATCATCACCATCGTATTGTCTTTTATAGTTTGTTTTAGTTCAACTTGTTTTTGAAAATTCATTAAAACATCGCGATATTTAATACCGATAATTCCTTATTTAATGAATTAAATTTATTAGTTGTATATGATCGAATTTTTATTTTTTTTAATTCACTATTAAACTGATTTAAATTTACATTTAGATATTCATTACTTAAGATTTAAACTAAAAACTATGTATGCAGTGTAACATGATCTGATAAGATAAAGATAAAAGAGTATATTGTAAATTTATAACAGAAGTGTGAACGTAAATGATAATAATATCGATTTCATTAAATAAATCAATATAAATATTATTATTATTTTAATCTTGCAAACTCTTGTTAGAAAATTTGCTATTGTTAATTTACAAATATTCTATAAAACTAACTTTTCTTTATTAAGATTATGTAATTTATTGAGTCCACTATGGATAAATACAACATTAATATAATCGTTAAATTATTTATTATTATTATTATTATTATTATATTTTAATATTTATCAATTAATTTATAATTACTCTTTATTTATTATATAAAATATTATATAGTTTTATTTTAAACATTAACAAATAAGATTAAATATTGAAAAACAATTTTTTTTTTTCAAATATATTTTTAAAGATATAATACTTAATACTTAATCGAATTAAAAAGAATAAAATTGAAATGAAAAATATTTTTTTTTATATTTGTGTCATTTATAATTAAATTTTAAATATTATACAATTATATTCATAAACATAATGACAATTATTATATCCATATATATATATATATATATATATATATATATAAAATATAAAATATATTGATTATGTTTGTAAATAAGTAGATAAGTAGATAAGCAATAAACAAAAAACATCAAAAATTTTGTTTTTTTTGCAGAGGATTAAAGGGGAACAATATAGCTAGTTTAGAGCCTGATGTTTTATTACATTTAACTAAATTGAAAGAATTGTAAGTAATATTTTTAAAAATAAAAAAATATTTCAACTGATGTTATATCTTTAAAAAGAATTATTTTAATTAATATTTTGATATTATTACCAATTATTCAAGAGATCTCAGTGGAAACAAATTTGGAGATGACTTTAGAATTATTCTGTCTGAAGGTACGCATTTACAAATGCTTAAAGTAAATAAAAACCAATTAACACAAGTGCCAGACATGTTTTTTGTTAAAAACATAACACATCTTGCATTGTAAGTATATTGCTTATATTATTAAATATTGTGGGGATAGTAGAGGTTATAAGAAAAAATAACATAATAATATAAAAATAAATAATATTTTTTTTTTATAGAGCTCACAATTCAATTACCGATATAAATGGAACCGCATTACTCAACTTGCAACGACTTCAAAACTTGGATCTTAGTGGAAATAAAATAAGTGTTATTCGAAATGGATCCTTTCTTGCACCTAATTGCCTTACACATTTGTATGAAATTATTTTGTTATGCTTGAACATATAAAACTCGTAATAATATTTATAAACCTATTTGAAAATTTTCTTATTTTCTTACAGAAATTTAAATAAAAATCAAATAAAAGTCATTGAAAATGGAAGTTTGGATAATTTAACTTCATTAGAAGAATTACGACTGAATAAAAATCATTTGACACAATTGAAAGATCTTTTTACAAATTTAAAAAAATTGCGTATATTGTGAGAAATTATTTCATATGATTTTTTTGTTGTTTATTATTGTTTATATCATTACTTATATATATTGATTATATGATTAATATACGATGTTTTTTTCTAGGGAAATAAATAGAAATGAATTGCAGACAATCCAAGGACTTAGCCTTAGAGGTTTAAAAAATCTAAAAGAATTACATTTAAAAAAAAATAAAATTGAAACATTAGATGATGGTGCATTTTGGCCTCTTGAAAATTTAACGATTCTAGAACTTGACTTTAACTTATTAACTATGGTGAGAAAAGGTGGTCTGTTTGGATTAGAACATTTACAAAAATTAACATTATCACACAATCGAATACGCACTATTGAAATACAAGCATGGGATAGATGCAAAGAAATCATCGAATTGTTAGTAATATTTTAATTCTGTAATATACTAAAATAGAATTATGACAATAGAAAATTAAAAAATTTATCACTTTATCGATATATTCAATTACAATGAAAGATATATTTGCAGAGATTTATCGTATAATGAAATATCCACAATTGAACGAGATACTTTTGAATTTTTGGAAAAATTGAAAAAACTTAAACTGGATCACAATCAGATTACATACATTGCAGATGGCGCATTCAGTTCAACTCCTAATCTACAAATATTGTACGTATAATATATCATACTGTAACAACATGAAGATTTGTAAAAATCCAACAAATCTTTTATAATAATCATATTATTGTCAAAGGGAATTGAAGTTTAATAAAATTTCGTATATGGTGGAAGATATTAATGGTGCCTTTGATCCACTCGGACAATTATGGAAACTAGGATTAGCGCACAATAGAATAAAATCGGTAAACAAAAATGCGTTTACCGGATTAAGTAATGTTACCGAATTGGATTTAACTGGAAATAATATAACAAGTATTCAGGAAAATGCATTCGTTTCAATGACTAGATTAACTAAATTGAGAATGAATTCAAGTATGTATAATATATATAAATATGTTCGTAACATTTTGTGATTTAATATTTGCATTCATTTTTATCTATTTTTATCCTTGTTGTTGTATAAAGGTGCTTTAGTTTGTGATTGTGGCTTACAATGGTTAAGTATGTGGTTACGTGAGCATAGTTATACCGATGCGGAAGTTTATTGCGGATTTCCACATTGGTTACAAGGAATGTCATTAACTCAACTTTATCATAAAAATTTTACATGCGGTTAGTTTAACGATCTAAAATTATACATTTAATATAATTTTATTTCGTATAAATTCATTATTCATTCAAAAATATATGGATTTCAGATGAATATCCGAAGCCAAGAATTATCGAAGAACCTAAAAGTCAGATGGGTATTAAAGGAGATAATGTGACATTGGTTTGTCGAGCAACGAGTACCACTATAGCAAGACTACATTTTACTTGGAAACACGATAATATTGAAATTAATGATGACAATCTACAAATAAACACCGATTCTACGGAGAATGGAGTAACAGAGGCAACTTCTATCTTACATCTTACTAATGTTACTCATGCAAACGCTGGAAAATATCAGTGCATGGTGACCAATACATACGGAACAACATATTCCGCAAAAGCAAAATTAAGTATTTTAAGTAAGTTATATTAATTCAAACTTGAATTCAAACGAATATTATTAATATATAATATCCCATTTGTTAAAAATATATCACAAATAATAATGAAAATTTTTATTATAGTATATCCATCTTTTTCAAAAATTCCACATGATATACGTGTAATTGCTGGAAGTACTGCTCGCCTCGAATGTTCAGCAGAAGGGCAACCATCACCGCAAATAGCATGGCAAAAGGATGGTGGTAATGATTTTCCAGCGGCAAGAGAAAGAAGAATGCATATGATGCCGACTGACGATGTATTATTTATCGTTGATGTGAAAACTGCTGATAGTGGCGTTTACTCGTGTACCGCGCAAAATCTTGCTGGCTTAATCGTTGCAAATGCTACTCTCACAATATTAGGTAAATTTTTATATAATTGTTTGATGTGAACGAAATTAGATTGCCGTTTCTTGATAAATAATTGCGATTATGATTTTTTTTGTTTTTTTTTTTTTTTTTTTTTTTAAGAAATACCATCGTTTGTAAAACCGATGGAAAATAAAGAAGTGACAGTTGGTGGTTCGATTGTATTGGAATGTATGGCAAGTGGTATGCCCAGACCAAAATTATCTTGGCGTAAAAATGGTAATCCTCTGTTAGCGACTGAACGGCATTTTTTCACTGCTGAAGATCAGCTTTTGATTATTGTCGACACTATAATTAGTGATGCTGGTAGTTACGAATGTGAAATGAGCAATTCATTGGGCAGTGTTGTTGGCGTATCTCATCTTACTGTAAAACCAGGTAAAATATCTTTTTCACTTAAATTTTTTGTTCTTTTTTTCTTCTTTAAAATTTAAAATAAAATATAATACAAAAATATTGCTTATTCCACAGCTCCGATTTCGACTCCCAGCCCTGTGTCGGTAAACGAAGACGATATACTTGGTTTGATAATAATCACTGTTGTATGTTGCGCTGTTGGTACATCTATAGTATGGGTAGTTATAATCTATCAAACTAGAAGACGATTGAATAATGTTGCTCAAGGTAGACCGCATGCACAACCAACATCGACTTTAACAGGTACGGTAGCAGATACGCAAACGCACATATATTTGGAGACGAGTTCCCAGCATAGTAAAGACAGTGGTACAGGAGATAGTACCAATCCTAGTAGCGATCAATTACAATTATGTTTACCCGGTAAGTAAAAATATTTTCATTTTATTATTATTATTATTCTAAAATTTACTCTTATTATATCTATTTTTAGAGGAAATCGTTACATGTTCCGTGAATAATGAGGAAGAACCAAGTGCAGTGGTAAATGTAGGGGCTCCATTGTTAAGATATACCAATCATGAACGAATCGTTCGTGAGAACAAAGACTGTGCTGTTTAAAAAATGATTTCAAATATGATTTTTTTTTTCTTCGTAACTGATTCGTCATGTTTCATGCATGAACATTTTCACTTACAATGTGCAAAATAATTATCGAAAAACTATCAAGCAGAATCGTTCTGATCATTGAACAACAAAGTAACAGTCACGGCAATCGTACAGTTTGATAAATTTATTGTGTCATGAACATTATTTTTGTGATGTATGATGATATGAACGTGATATGAACGAACGATAGCTTATTTTATTGTGTTTTAGTTTTCATGAAAAAAAAACTTGTCAAAAAAAAAAATACGTAAATTAGAAAGTACTATTGACATATAATTTGTAAATATTTAGAGTAAGAACTCGCCACGATTAATTCAATTCATGTCGCCGAAGAAAGAGCAAAGTTAACACAAGTCTGTTGACATCGGGAATTAACCCGTAACCCGCAAAAGCCACTTATTATGTAAACCAGTCTTTTGTGATAGATATTTATTTTTAGGATTACTTAATTACTATTAGATTATACAATGACTATATTTATAATGCCCCATGACGTAAGTTTGCCTAAAAAAAAAAAAAGAAAATGAAAAAAACAGATGAAACGAGTAAAAGAAACGTATATAAGTCCACGCACAGGTATTTTATATTCAACAGAACGCGTTAATCATATGTAAATATACATCGAAAAGAAAGAAAGTATGCGTGCATACTTTCGTATACGCTGTGTGTCTGCTGCGTGCATGTGTATGTATGTGTGTATATGTGTGTGCGTGTGTGCTGTGTGTACACATTGTTATGCACCAAAGTGCTAATATGTAGACATTTAATAATTTGTCTTCCTCTTTATTTTTTATTCATAGCTAATCATTATATCACTTTTAGATAAATTAATTTTGAAATAATTTAATCGATCAAAAATGATTGCTCATCACTGATAGATATCAATATAATTTTTCTAATATTTGATTATATAATATCGTCATTGAATCAACGATTTTTCTTTAATATTAAAATTTAGTGAAATTTTTTCCATATAAAGAATAATTGTATTTTGTTAGTAAATTACATACAAGCGTCATTACATACATATTTCATTATTTTTATCGAAAAGAAATTTTCACAAAAGAAAATGCATATTTTTCTTTTTTTTTCTTTTTTTTTTTTTTTTCCATCATTTTGTATAATTAATTTTTGAACACATATTTGTACGTTTCAATAGATGGTACTTTCAATTGAAATGCACGCACGAGAATAGAAAGAATTGTGATTAGTTGAACGTGCGATAAAACGATCGTTATGTAACAAGACTTCAATGAATATTATAATTTCTGTGAGTTTCTGTAAGTTAATTTGTGATATTTTTATGCCCCATGAATAATTTAAAATTCTCACAAACATAGCACAAGAATATCGAATGACAGCGCGAAGATTGGCAAATATCCGAAAAATTAAATAAAATTAATATTACGACGATCATTGTTTCGATGTCATGATGGTTTGATAATGATGATGATGGTCATACATGGTCTTATATATACATATATATATATATTTTTTTAGATCTTATATTTCGAAAGAATGAAAGAACGAGTGATGACTATCTCTTTTCATGAATAACAAAACATCGTATTATAGTATTACTGTATTAAATGCGATAAATAGTTATTCGGTTAAAGACGAAAAAGAATCGAAAATTTGTATTTCGTTTTTCAAAGCTTTGCTTTTTTTTTCTTCTGTATTTCGATCAATGACTTTTGTGGTTCGCGCTGTTTTTACACGAAAAAAAGGACGATATTGTTCGAGATTGTTCAACAACATTTCTCAAAGGGAAAAAAATGAAAATTCAACGTCAATATGATCGATAATGAATTCACTAATTATCGCGAATGACCGCGATTTAACATTGCGTCCAGCAATCTGATAGATTTAGCAAGATCGTGCAAACTTACCAGTAACAAGTATTATAAATCGTATTTTGCCAATAAACAAAGAAAACATCGATGGGGTTCGCGTGTGTGCGTGTGTATGTGCGCGCGCCTTTAAACAAGGCGCCCTCGTGTAATTCAGTATTTTTTCCTTGTTGTTACGTGGTATATTATAAACAAATACAAGTAATGTATTAGGATAATTAGATTTGTTGTAATCGCGAACAAAGCGAACAATCCCCGATACTTTTTTTTTTTCTTCTCTTTATTATACACTTTTTCGTTTCTTTTCTTTTTTTTTTTTTTTGAACTTTATTTACCAAACGAGCATACTTTGTTAAAATATAATTGCTGATACATGTACATATACATACGAGAAAGAAAGAAAAAAAGAGGGAAAAAAAAAAAAAGAAATAAATTTTTAGTAATCTTTTTTTAGAAATTTTCAAATGATACGCCAGCGTATCATAATCGTTTATTTTTCCTTCTTTTTTCCTTTTTTTCTTTTACTTTTCCTTTTTAACGAGCATTATATCTGTCGAATGTACGCGCAAATGTGTACATATTTTACGCGGTCGCGGTTATCCCTCGATTTTCAATTTTCCGTTTACAATATACGACGGTTATCATGGAAACACGTATCACAAGTATTTTCTACTTTTTTTTTTCCAAAAAAAAAAAATGAAAAATACTCGATTCACGTTCAAACGAATTTAATATCAACTTTCTCTATATCGATTAAATCGATCTAATCGATTATAAATCGCTGAACGGAATCGAATCAACGATTCGAATCGTTCCATTCTAACCAATATGGAGGGATGGCGATCTGCGATTTGTTTACGAAAAGTGAACGGGAGAAAGAAGTAATTCGAGAAAGAAAGAGAGAGAGAGAGAGAGAGAGAGAGAGAGAGAGAGAATAATATTTGTTATCTAAATTTCCAAATATCACAATGATCAAAATATCATAACGCGTACGAGAGTGTTTTCACAATGTTCTCACTCGGCTCTTTGTTACGAAGCCTGATAATAAAAACAAACGATTGGTTTTCCCGAAACGAAATTCCGTTAAGCAACAATAGGAAAAACGTGCATCGTGATAAGTCAAAGGGGAAAAAAAAAATCTATAAATAAATAATAAGGATATGAGAATATTTAAATGAGATAATAAACGAAACAATAACGTCTCTCGAAAGAGATTTCTACGACGTCGATTATTCGTTCATCCTCGCAAATGAACATCATTTTTTCGATTATTATTATAATGCATTTACGAAATAATATTTTTCTTTTTTTTTTTTTCTTCCATTGATTCTAAGGAAATCGTTAAGATTCTCGTTCTATTTTGTTTTACAAATCGCGGCGACAGTTTTCTCTAAGATCCTGCTTGTCAAAATTGGCGCCCGTTTCATTGGCTGAAAAATAACAGCGAATGATATCCTGCACGAACGAGATAACTAGAGTTTCTATCATCGTTGATGAAAACGTCAAAATAACAAATTAATTTGATCGCAATATATATATATATATGTACACAACAGATGATATTGTGACCTCGCATAAGATTTCGGGATACGCATACGAATACATAGAAATGATATTTTGTAGATAACGAGAAACTTGTATTTGAGCGTATCGTTTTCGTCCTCTGGACGTAATCCAGGTTCAAATTTCATCATTCGTAGCGTTCAACGAAATACCGCGATATTGATTCTCTACCGACCATTATTTATTACTTAATTGATTCGCTTTCAATGCAAAACGAACGACGCGTATTCGTTCACATTTGTAACACAAAATTCTCTAACTAATCTATTCATTTATCTATCTAATTAACTAACTATATTTATCTATATTTATACGTACGTATTTCGCATTGTCCACGATAAAAGTAACGGTGCTTCGAACAGTGTCGAAAAATCATGAAAACGCAAATGTTTGCTCGTTGATCAACGATCGGCGAATCGTTCGATCCTCCATTTTTTTTCCCCTTACTTATTTTATTCCCGCAATCGTCCGCGAATACGGATAATTATATAAAGAGTCGTTTTCTCGTATCGACGAACAAAGGAGAATTATGTTACGAGGCGGCGAACGGTGCGCCATCGTCAGTGTCGATTTTGACTAAATCGCGGAAGCGGCTAAACGGATTTATCTTATACAAAAATATCCGGAAAAATATATATAATATAAGATTTACAATTCGATAATACAAGATTTTTATCGAAAATTTGTTATCTATACATCTCGAATCGACGATCGGTCATTTAAACGACGATCGCTCGTCCATACACAACGCGACGTAAAAAGCGCGATCTCGTTGCTACGATATTATTATCGATTTCCTCGATCGTCCGCTAATCCTTCTCTCTTCTAATCGTTAAACTCGATATCGAGATTTCGATCGGTGTCATCCAGCACGCGATCGCAGTGGAGAAAAATGTGATTAGGTGATTAGGCCGGATGCGTCGAGGGGGAGGGGGGAGGGGAGGGGCAAGGGGAAGGGGTCCGCACAGCGAGAGAAACGGCGAATTCGTTTCGAATTCGCGATGCCGTGCGTGTTTCCGAAAGTTAGGGAGGGAAGAAGGAAGCGGTCGTCGGTTTAAAACACGACGATCAATAGGAACGAGTCGGTACCGTGTATCACCGTGTCGCCGTTTCACCGTATCACCTTCCCCGCTTCCTCGCTAATCGAAAACGCGTACAATCGATTTATCGAAAACGGAGAAAGAAGAAAAAAAATAAAAATAAAAAGACAGATGTCTGGTGAACACGCGCGAATCGCGATCATTCGAAGAGAATAATCGTTCGCGAGTGGAAAAATTCTACTAAATAATAGTAGTAATAGTACTGGTAGTGATGGTGGTGGTGGTGGTGATGGTGGTGGTGGTACACACGCGGTTAGTGCACGATCGAATTGCGCGAGAGCGAAATATCAGGCGAGTTTTGCACAGTGTTTGGTCGATTCACGACCGATGATCGCGATCACGGCAGTTGAAGTAATAACGAGAAGCAAGTTCGACCAAGTGTTTGTTTACTTGTCCTCTTTTCGTCTCGCCCCTCGTGTGCCATTATCGCGCTTCAACGGTCGCTTCGCACAGAAGCTTGGGCTCTCTAGAAGAGCAACGGTCGTCAATAGTTGTTCATGTCCTTGAGCTCGGTGTAAGCGATCCTCTTTCGGTAAAGATTCCCACTCGGCGATATTACTTTTCTCTTGTTCGGCATCGTGGACGGCCCCGGTACGTAATAATGCCGCCTTTTGTACACCACCATTCTGTAAAACAATTAGCAAACGATTATCATAATTTTTCTTTAACGAAAGAAATATTCCTACGATCGACGAATCGTCGATGGAACGAGAGTTAAACAACGAGAGTTTTATGTACCGTTCGCTTCCTGTAAGGACACGCTCGTCGTTCCACGCAACATGCATTCGTACTGTACGTTGCGCGCGCATAATAAACAATAAATCAATTTAACCGTGTTAGATCAATTTAACGCGTTTAATCTTTGGTTCGATCGTAAGTATTTTGCGCATATTCGACGATATCGAAGAGTCGTACGAGACGGAGACGGAAAAAAGATATAAGTTTCGCGTTCCAGATTAATGGATCAGTTTGCCGCGGCGCAAAAGATAAAATCGCGCGTTACGTGTACGATCGCGGCAACTTCCGGTGTTTTTCGAGTCGTTGTGTCGTGTCGTCGTCGTCGTCGTCGTCGTCGTCGTCGTTGAATTAATCGTGGAGAACTGTGATTTTCGATCGAATTGAATTTCAAGTGAATTTCGTTCCATTTAAAACGAGCACGTTTTATTACCTCGACGATAATCGAGGAGACGAGAGCGGAAGGAGATAAAGGAAAAATATTACACGAGAAAGAACGATGTCAACGTTTATGCAGTTGTTTATGCGAGCTGTCGATACAATAGCGAGAGTATTGTATGCCAAATATATATATATATATATTTCGTCGGCATTGCAAAACATAACGGATAAAGGAAACGTGATAAAATTTATGGATATAATCGTTGGAGAACAGGTGTCGGATAGATTTTCTGATTTATACACTTTATTGAAATGTTACCACCACACAGGCAAGCAAATGTAGATAAGGCATAGCGAGATATATGTATATATACATGTATATATATGCATATATATCGTTGATCGAAACAAATTAAATTTATCATCTACCTTTCCCTCGCGACGATATTTTTAGATATACTTTAACTAATCTCTAATTTCTAGCCCAGTCTTGTTCCGGTCGTCCTGCAACCCCTATACTCCATCCAACCGATTCGTCAATTTTATCGATCGATCAACGATCCGCTGCGAAATGCGTCAACGATAATTTCTTACGTTCTTTTATTATTATTACAGATATCTTTAAACGAGCGAAATATTCATTTTTGACGATAATAGGTAGGAACGTCGAGTTATCGCTATCTATATATATCTATATATATATACACCTTTAAAAGAAAAAAAAAAAAACTTAACAACGTATTGCCGGAATGCGTCGACTAATCTAAAAACGGGCAACATTAAAAACATTTTTCAGCTCGTTGATAAAAGTAATGCGACACGTCGAGATCTTGTAAACCCGTCTTGGTCCCCCTCTCCAAGTAGAAAATAACTTGGAGATCGTCGTACGAGATAAAAATTATACAAAAAAAAAAAAAAAAAAAAAAAAAAAAAAAAAAAAAAAAAAAAAAAAAAAAAAATAAACTCCATTTATCCGGAATGAAACAACAAACAGTGGCGAGGTTGACGGTTCATCCGAGAAATGATCCAAGATTCATTGGTACGGCCCTCTTTGGTAGTGTGATACGAAGTAGACAAGTTGGTTCGTTCGAGAAGGAAAAAAAAAATGACTAGACGAATATATATATATATATACACATACTCATACACATATATATATATTCGCTTCCTCGGTCCTTCGAATAAATCAGCTTCGATCGAGATCGAATTCGTTTCGATTTATCATCGATCGACTCGTTGTTTCCTTCTTGACCAACTTTGTTTGCGTGCTTCGCTTTCGAAGCGAACAGAAAAAAAAAAAAAAACAAGGAAACAAAAACAAAATTCATTCCATAATACTGCGAGTTAAAGGAATAATAATAAATTTTGGGATCGTTAACCCGCTTACTTAATCCGTTAAAAAAGAACGATCCTCGACCAGCGAAGACAACGATGGTTACACAACGGGGGGGAGTACGATTGAAAATCACAGAACACGTTACTAGAGAAATTAGAAAGAAAGAAAGAGAGAGAGAGAGAAAGAGAAAGAGAGAGAGAGAGAGAGAGAGAGAGAGAGAGAGAGAGAGAGAGA